GAAATTTTCACCCTCTTTTAAGGATGCATATCATGTGAAAATTGGTTGGCTTGATGTTATCCCATAAATCCCTTAAGCTGTAATCACTTTTTTTTTTTTTAATCTTCTTGCTGTGATTAGATGAGTTCCATGGACTTGTCTTCAGGTTCACTGATCCTTTCTGTTTTAGTGTTACTGAACCATTCTTTGTATTTTCCAGTTCAGCAGTGGTATTCTTCAAGTTCTATGATTTGTTTAGTACTTTCTTCACTTTGTTCATGAATTGTTTTATGACCATTGTAAACTCCTTATCGTGTAAATCACTTATCTCCATTTTGTTAAGGTCTTTTTCTGAGGTTTTACCTGTTCATTTGGGTTTCTATGCATTAGCTAAAACAGCCACCTCCCCCAATCTTGGAGTGGACTCATGTAGGAAATAAGCCTAGCCATTCAACACTATCCTGGTTCTTTCTTCTTTGTTCATCGTTGCTCCCGGTAGTTGAGGGTATGCCAAGACCTGTCAGCATCCTAAAGGGGGGGGGGGGGATCAGTCAGTACCTACATGCAAGCTGATTGCAACTTGGACCTACAGTTATTAGGATAAGCAAATAAACCTCTTTTGTGGGAAGACTGGGCATTTCTGTCTGCTGCCTCTGCATTAAGCTCTGGCAGATTAGCTTGTTAAGAACTGTTTGTGACAGTCCAGTTGGATTTGCAAACATAAGCCCCACTGGCCACCAGAGCTAGGTGATTAAGGGGTGTCCCCTGGGTGGCAGCTGTAAAAACTGGAGTGCCAGACTTGTGCACAAGTTCCTGAGAGATACTGGCCACCTGGCACAAGGCAGAGAGAGAACACAAAGATGGTGCCTGCTAGACTCTGCAGTGTGTTGCAGTTAGCCCCTAAGTACGTGTTAAATTAGAAGCCTGCCCTTCAGGTCAAAGCTTTTAAGATTATTAGGCCTTTTTCACAGACTGGATGCATTTCAGTCTGCTGCCTCTGAGCTAGGCCTTGGGGGATTAGCCACGGGATCATGTGAACTCGTTTTGAACTGTTTTTCAGTTTGCTATGTCCTCTACTTCTCATGGACACAAGGCCCATTGCCTTTTAAAGCTAGAGGTGTTGGGAGGTCCATCTCTCAGGTGGTAGTCTTAAAAGTCAGGACACCAAATGTGGGGTGGTCCAGATCCTTTACCCCTCAGGGAGAAGTTAGGAGTTGTTGAGGTCCCTCCTGGTTGGGTGTCATCATCCTGGAGGTGGGGCTTACGGCAAGATATTCTCACCCTCTCCTACCATTTTGATTTGGGTGTTTTCTTGTTTATCTGATGTGCAGGAGTTGATCAGCTAGTTTCTGGCTCTCTTTCAGAGACTTGTTCTATGTGTAGCTATAGATGCACTGCATCCACGGGAAGAGGTAGTTCAGGATCTTCCTACATTGCCATCTTGAACCAGAACCTATCTCACAGTTTCTGTGGACCAGCAATATAGGCGTGGCTTAGCAGAGTCTTCCGTTCAAGGTCTCACAAGGCTGCAGTTGGTTGGAGCTGCAATCTAATGTGAGGTTCTTGTCTAGCCTGTTTGTTGATGGAATTCCATTCTTTACTGTCAGAGTACTGAGGCCTTCAGATCCTAGAAACAGCCCTCGGTTTCCTAACACATGGCATGCCCTACAACATGGAACTGTGTTGCTTCTAGTCCAGAATAAGCCTGTGAAGTTCAAAAGGGTTTACATGGAGTTTATATGCAGATTTCGGGGGCAGTGCTCTTTTTCAGGATATTCTCCTTCACATTTCAGTAGTTCTGGCAGATCCAAAGTCTCTTCTCTGAGTCTGAGCTAGTAAGTCATAGACTTACCCTCAGGTGCAAACACATATGAAGATGAATCTTACCCAGCAGACTTGTTTTTTTCAAGAGTTGACACCTTTTCCAACTTCTGCCAGCTTTTGGTTGCTCTCCAATGCCTTTGAATATTTATATTTTGTCCCAAGTTTGTAACCAGTATCTGCATGAGGGTAATATGCAATTCTGCCGAAGTAGGATCTTTCTGGTGTTTTTAATCCTACATACACTCTCTCCAAACAGTATCTCTGCATTATTGTAGATGCTTAGACCCATGATTCATATATATTGCAGATTATGCTTCAGAAAGTTATGATTATTATACACCATCTTTTGAAGAAGTCACTATAAATGTCTTACTGTACAATGAGTACTGGTTGGAACAGCTGTTCACTGACTCCTCTTAGACAAGGAATCATTAATGACCATTTAATTTCAAGAAAATCTTCACAGATTGCTGAGCACTTACCTTGTATTTTCCCATTCTTTCCAGTAAGGTAGCTATTATCACCACCCTCACTTTATAGTAACAGTCCAATAGCTTGCCTGTACGATTTCAGTCAAGGCCAAGATTTAAACCCAATATTGATAATAGACCAGCGGTTTCTAACTTGAATATGGTCATTCTGCTTCACATTCCAGAAATGAGCAAAAACTTCAATATAGCTTTGCTTTATTACTGCATGCCAGTTATGTGAAACACTTCTAAGATGTGATTTTTTTTTTTTCTCCAAGATATAATGTTCCTGAAAAGATACCTTTTTCCCACAGGAAGCCAAGTTTTTACCCCTGTGGTTTCTGGATACAGAAAAAAGACTCTCCAAGTCACAGACATTGTAGAGGTGCCATTGTAGAATGGCAAAACAATGACATATAACCTCGCTGTTTATTATCTTCATGGAGTTCTTCAAAGTCTTATATATTCTATGCTCTGCACTGTTAATAGTAGCCTATGATGTAACTGTAAATATTCAACTTTTTGATAACTTTTATATTTTGAAATATCTCCTTTAAAATAAAATTGTTGACTAGATATTGTAATGTTTGTTTTCTTGGATTTGGAGATAGAAAAAGGAAGAAAGGAAAATAGCTCTGCAGCACATCATGAAGTTTGGGCAGCACAGATACTAATAAGTTTAGTAGAATTAGTCTTAGAATAAAAACACCAATTTGAAAGAATGAAGCTATAAATCATAAGCTTGTATCTCCTGAGTCATTAATTCCTTTCACAAAAGTAAATCACTTGACTTCCTCTGAAGACATACATTATTCAGAATCTTCCCGACACACACCACTCCATATTTTTCTTACATCAGTATATGCTTCCTTGCTGTCCAAAGCCAATGTTACCAAAGTCTGAGCAGCTGGCAGAAATGAGTCATGTAGCCTAATTTTGAATGTTTCCAATGATAGGATCTTACAGTACAGCCACCAGCATCCTGAGTATTACAGAGGTAGTTGCAAGCCTACGGTAGTACCCAAGTGCCAATAATGTTTTATTGCATCCAAGTATCCACATACATAATGCCTCCAACTTTATGATCTGATCTTCCTCCCACAAAGGCTGGCTAGAGAACAGGCCAGAGGCCTTGGCTTTACTAAGTGATATTAGTCATTACCAGTAAACCCACCTATTATCCTGTTTTCCCGCTATCACTGGAGGGATGTTGTAAAGTCACAGGAATAAGAGCCATAGGCAGTTGGGATCTGTGAGAATAAAGCACATCATATTTGGGGAGTGACAGGCTTTAAATATTCACTATAAGCATAATTACACCAGAACTTATTTAGGAAGATACTCCTCCTAGTACATACAACAACACTGTTCCTTGTTAATAACTTCAAGAGGCCAAATAATGTTGCTACAATAATGGACTGCTAAAACTTAACAGGATGAACAATAAAGCACGGTAGTTTGTTAAAGCTTCCAAAATGGCCAAGACACAATGGATCTCAAATGAAGTAATGCAGTTTTATTCTGCAAAGGCATGTGGCATCACGTAGCTTCAGGAGACCCACGCTGTCCTCATATTTTAAAGCATATATATAATCTCTAATTCTAAAAGTTATACACTGATTATGCCAATCATAGAGCATTTAGAATTAATAACAAAATCATAATTTACAGTAAAAGACATTATTCATTGTTCTGGCTGCAAGTAGATTACACTCCCTTTCCTAGGGAGTAAAAAACAAACAAGTAGGCAGACATGACTTTCGTATCAAAAAACAATAGAAAGGGAAGAATATGCAAAAGAAAGCCATGTTCACCCCACTAGTGAGGTGAGGCAGTTATCAATCAAGGAGATCTTCCCTGAAGCAGAAATTTCAAGCTGGGCTTTAACAAAGAGAGGGGCAAGGCTGAAGGCAATGTTTCATTCCCATAATGAACTTAGTCTACATGAAAGACGTTTTTCACACTAAAGTGGTAAATACACTTTATATGTCTCAAGAACTTTATGTCTCACCTCCCAAACAAGACTGTCAATTACCTAAAGGGAGGAAATAGTATCCTAATTTTACATTCCTTTTAGCACATACCTCTGAGCATTTACTGACAAAATTTCCAAATAGACAACAAAACTCCAGGCTAGTTCACAGCCTCAAAGCCACTCAGCAAGTACAGGTACAATCTAAAATTCCAGTACAGTTTGTAGAATCAGTCACAGAGCAGAACCAGCTCTCCCAGAGACAAAGTAAACAAAAGCCAGTGTTCATTTTGTCCCAAGCCAGAGTGAGACAAAGATTATGTCTGACCCAGCCTAGACTCTACTGGTCTGAACCCGATGAGCTGAGACTCTGGAAAGATAAAAATGCGGCAGTCCTTTAACAGCCAGCCCCTCATACCTTCTAGTAATAATACCACAAAGGCCTCTCCATGACACAATGTTCACAAGAGAGAGATGGCTGGCACTCGTAGAGGTAATCAAGCTGGGCATTAGAGTTCTGACTGTCCAAATGCCATAGTTCTGCATCACATAGTTCGTTAGTGAAGAATATAATTAGCTTTTTACCCAATCATTTGCAAACTAGTAAGGAATGTAATATACCAACATATTATTTTACTGTACAAGATTGACATTCTTAAGAATTTGCAAATGTATCACATGGAACATTTTTATTCCTAATTTATATTTTGAAGATATTTGACAATATACAAAGAATACCAGTTCTAGGTGGTGACTGTTTTGTATTAGCGCATTTATTTACAAAATTTCACCACATTAATAATAACTACCTTTTAAAAAAAAAATTCAGCACCGGTCCTATAAAGGCCATTAGGATAAATTCTTAAGCCTACAAAAGTTGCCTTAAGTACCAATGCTCCCAGGCATATTATTGTTGACTAAAATCTGACTCCAAAGCCCACATGTAGTTTTGGATTATACACAGTCAATTTGAAGCACAATCCAAGTAGATTAACGGGACAGTGGAGGACCCAAGCAGTCCTATCAACCTCTATAAGAGGTGTATGTTAGCCTACTGGTTACATCCCTCTAGCTGTACCACCACTTATTTATAATGGGATAACTGAGTTGCCCCATTATGCTAAAATATGATTCCTTTGGAAAAAACAAGGCATTATCTAGACAAGCTAGACTGGTCAACAGGGTGAGTAAAAAGTGGCTGTCAGTAGTGAAAAACAGTTTCATTTCTTTGAACTTTTTCCTTTTCCTTTTCTGGACTCCTTATCTTTTTCTGATTTTGAAGGCTTTGAAGATTTTGTCTTCTTCTGTTGGGAGGAAAGAATGCACAAAACAGTTAATAGCTATACTTATGAGGAAATGAAATAAACTAATTTCTAAAATAAAGCAAATCTTTACCTGCAACTTAGTAAAAAGAAAGGTTGCAAACATCTTCAACTACCACTAGGCTAGGCTTATTTTCAAGCAACAACTAGGCTATCTGGAGCCTTTAACTACTGAAAAGCTATTTAGAATCTAGAACTAAGATATGTTTCCAAGGCATACAGTTTCTTGGATTTAGGACACAGGTATATTTAGGAAAGACAAAATGAGTAGGAGATAATTTACTAATAAGGTAACATTTTAGTGAATTTCGTTTCCTTCCGGTTTCAGATTAGAGATCTAAACAGGTTCAGTTAGTTTGAGCCTGGAATTCTGTTCATATGTCTACATAAGACTAGAGAGCTACACCGCAGAAGGCCACTTTTCCTACCTCTGCATATACAAAACAGAAACGAGGGACAAGGATGACACACACTAAGGATAGAAGAGAACAGACTAGATTCCTTTGCCTTAGCCAATGGTAAACAGTGGGCTGACACCATAAATGATTTTAATCTTTCCTAGCACGAGACAAGATTGTTTTATTCTCAGAAACTTCTATAGGCAGTTCAATGGCTATAGTAAAACACAAATTATGGAAGAGAGAAATGGTTTCATTGAAAATGTTTTTCTTAAACTGTAGAAATATGTGTCTGTGGTAAAGCACACAACAATGGCCAAATAAAAATGGTACTTTTTCTAACACAGCATATGACCATTAATATGATGGCCTATTTTCTTGCTATCTGGCTCATCCACTATTATAAGCAGCTGACTATAAGAATAAAATCTGGGACACCTGGGTGGCTCGGCACTTGATCCTGGAGTCCCGGGATTGAGTCCCACATCGGGCTCCCTGCATGGAGCCTGCTTCTCCCTCTGCCTATGTCTCTGCCTGTGTGTCTTTCATGAATAAATAAATAAAATTAAAAAAATAAAATAAAATCTACACTTCTCTACCCTGAAAGTAATTAACGTAAAAGCTTAAACATAGGCCCTGAATAATTTCAGAAGGCAAGTTCTACACAAGAAAAGATAAACTACTGAGAGTGTATCATAGCATTTCCTGTCTATAGCTTAAAATACTACCTTGATCATTCCATCAGTTTCCATAGAGTCTTGGTCTTTCTCATCAGATTGAGAGTCATCTTCAATTAACTCTTCATTGTATTCAGAATCCAGTGCCGGGCCTGTGCTGTGTCTGGGTGTCTTTACTGCTTGAAGTGAATATGGAGTAAGGTGGACTTCCTTATTGTAGGTTCTTGTGAAGGCTGCTTTCACCTATAGAAAAGGAACAGAAAGAGTCTGTTAAAAATGTAAGTGCCAAACAATACATTTAAAGGTTTCATGAGTTCCTGCAGGGTCCTTGAAATATTTAGCAAAATATTTATGCATGTACATGTAAGTGTATTTACATACATGGAGACTTCTCTATGGAGAAGTCTATATTTTTCATGGCATTCTTAATAAAGTCCATGACTCAAAAACAAGAACTAGTATTTGGGAACATTAGGAAAAAAAAAAAAAAAGAACTTTAACTCATCATTTTTGCCTGCTTATCGCATTCCACAGTTTTACAAAGTGAGAAGCCTATGAATCAATAAATCAAAAAAGACTTACAGTAAGGTTACAGTAAGGTACAAATTAAAAGTTGGCCTTAAATTATCACAAAATACATAAATTTCCTTTACCATAATAGTAGTGGTTAATTCAAAATACTAAGTAACTTGAAAAGCCTTAATTTGAAACTTCTAAACATAACTGTACAATTTAGTCCTTGAACACTAACAGTGGAGGTCTCTCATGAGAATTTACCCATAACCATAAAGTCAGGTCAAAATTCTAGAGAAGGCAAGCCATAGAGAATATATCTAGAAATATAGATAAAAGAAACAGGCAGAGTATGAAGTACTGGATATTACAAATTCATGTTATGTCACTTTATACAATGAAAGTAAGGAATACATTATTACGTAATAGAATGTCCAACTATAATAAATACTAAATTCATAGATTAGGCAAACTAAGAAAAAGCATCAAAATCCTCAGCCAATACAAACAACTTTGTTTTCATATTACCACCACCTGATTTATTTTCCCAGGCTCATCCGCCCACTTTTATAAGGAATACATTTATATTTGCTTCTCAGATTTTATGTCTTGCTTTTTCACTCAATGTAAAGCAATGATAGAACTACAAATCGTTAAGGTCAAATTCCATTCTTAATACTGCACTCAAATATGGAAAGCATAGACCATAAGAAGCAAAAAGGCATTTAAGAGGGAAAAATTAAATCTTTTTAAAGCACCTACAACATCTCTGAAATATTCCTACTATAAACCTGGTAATTACAAGTGATGGAGAACCAGTGGGTTAGTTACGTAATTTACCTTGGGATCCAGCTTGAAGAAGGGACTAGGTTTCCCTCCCCAGCTGCTAATTTCCATGATATTCTCGAAGTCTTCTTTCATCAAGTAGTAGGCATCCATAAGAGCAATAACATCCTGTACTCCTTCTACCCCTTGTGAGGTCAAGGGCTGTACAAGTGCATCCCTTATATGTGACAGATAATCCATGTTTACAGTCCTTTTGCTGGAATAAGTTCTTAAACCAAAACAAAAGAGGCATAACTGTAGTCAGTGGCAAACTACCACCAAGCTCAAGACATAAATGCTCAAGTTCAATCCACCTTTAATAATGCCCAATGTAATGTCTACTATTTAAATCAGCTGGTAGAAAAAAAAATAAAAATAAATCAGCTGGTAGAGAAAAAGCCTAGCACTCACTACAACATCAGGATAATGGATACACACCAGTGTGCTCAAAGGGAATGGATTTCCTACTTATCTGCATCAGTGAATGAAAAACACAAATGTAGGTTCTACTTCCAACCTACTCTCAAGGCCTGGGCAACAACAGGACTTCTATGTGCTCATACTCATTATAACCAAATATTACTCATTCCCAGTTCCAAATATTACAAGCATCGGGAAAAGGCAGTGAGATTTCCTACCTCAAGTACCAGTGCTACTTCCTACATGAGGACTTGTAACACCATTTGATCTCTGATTGTAACACGCAAAATTATATATGAATGTTTCCCTCATATTTCCTAATATGAGGTTACTCCAAAATCTTTAGTTCTAGAGCAAGGCTTTCCCCAAACTTAGAAAACTGCCGAAAATGTCCCTGCAGAATCACAAGGTGGTCCACACTTATGAGAGGAAGGCTTCAGGAAAAAGTCTCGCATCTGCTGAGAACAACAATGCTATCATGAAATGACTTTCTCACTCGCTCTTAAAATATGGTCACTCAAAACTAGAACAAAATGCCACCAATCTAAACCTTTCCAATCCAGCTGCTTCCATCATCAAATGAGGAAACAAGAAACCTCAAAAGTTGCTGGGCTTCAGAACCCATAAACATTTCTAAATTATTAATGGGCCCTGCTATTGCCTTTAGGTAACTGAAGAGTTCTCTTGATCAAAAATCTAGAACCCTGCTCCTGTCAAAGAATCCAAAAACTCGTATTTTAAATTCACCCGTTTCCTCTAGATTCAGTAGTCTTCCATAACCAAGCACTATTAGTGCTTGAAGACAAGCCCTAAGCCACAGTGCCTACAAAAATCATGAAACAAAGTATTCTCAAAAGTATTCTCGTATTTTGTTAATTACTGTTACCTTCTACTTAGAATCACAGAAAATACCTCTAGAAAAGTCTAAAGGTATCATCTAGTGTTCCTAAATCAAGGGTTCTTAACCTCAGAAATCTGTAATTCCTCTAGCATTATTTGTACTTTACTGCCTTTGGGATTAATAAAAATCAAAGAGCTTTCAGATTCGCAATGGCACCTATCACCCTAACTAGAACTAATACTAAAATAGTACTTCCATTTTTAAAGATAAACTGAGATCTATAAAAGTTCAAGGACTTAGGGTTAAAAAATTAAATAGGAAGGTCCTAATTTATTCTAAAAATTCTGAATTCACTATAGATGTCCTTTGATGATGACAATGTCCTGTATATGATTCATTAAGGAACATTCATGGAGCAATTTAATGTGCTGGATGAGTAGGCCTCAGTTCCTATCACCAGAAATGTTCGGTCTAACAGGAAAAGGGGACAGACATACAAAAGCACAGCCACAAAACAAGATGGAAGTCCAATGCCAATGATCTACATGAAAACGGTGGGGGCATCAAAGATGAATACCTACCACCAGGGCACAGGGATGCATCACCTTTTTTAAAAGCAGAGGGCAGGGAGTAGAAAAGCTTAGAGCCAGGCCTTACACTTTGACCACGAGCAGTGGGGAAAGCAACTCCTTCCAGTTTATAGAGGCCATAGACATCCCTTGGCTCATGGTCTCTTTTCCCATCTTCAAAGCCAACAATGTAACATCTTAGAATCTCTTTCCCTCTCTGACTAGATACTGCTGTCTCCCTTTTATTTCTTTTTGGTAAAGATCCTTATAATTACACTGTGCCTGCCCAGATAGTCCAGGACATTCTTTGCATCCTAAGACAGCAATAAATTTGTGTTATTTTAAACCATTAAGGGTTTTTTTTTAAGATTTTATTTGACACAGAGAGAAAGAGAAAGAGAGCATGGCAGACAGAAGAGAAGCGGGCTCCGTACTGAGCAGGCAGCCCAATGTGGGGCTCCATCCCAGGAGCCCAGGATCATGACCTAAGCTGAAGGCAGACTCTTAACTGCCTGAGCCACACAGGCACCCCTAAACCATTAAATTTTTAGCAATTTGTTACAGCAACAATAGGAAACTAATACAAGAGTGGCAAAAAAAGAGCCATGCTATAGGCTAGGAAGAGGGAACATAGAATTTTATAGGAACAGTAGAAAGGAAGCATTTCAGTTCAGCTTCAAACAAAAGTTAAGAGTGGACCAATGTTAACGAATATTCCCTCCAGAGATCAGAAAAAGAAAGAAGACTACTCAAGTAGTTCTTTGTGGTTAAAAATAAATTCCTAAAGTTCACTGAATATTTGGGTGTGTGCACATTTTCTAAGTTTTTCAACTTTAACAAAATTGTACCAAATAACAAGAATTTTTGGACTTCATTAAACTTCTCCAAGCACACTGATTTTTCAATCATCTGCACATCTGCTTCCTATTGTTATATGCTAAACTGTGTCCCCGATCCTAAATGACTAGTTCAGTTTATTACTAGGATAGGTAAAAACTAGTTCATTTATTTAAATAGTCTCTTTTTTCCTATTAAATTATTTGGAAGCTGAGACATTATGTATCCCTACAAGTAATAGGTGTAGTCACGATAATAAATAGTAGCACTACCTCAGATTTACGTAGATTCAATATTTATCTTAAAATTATGGCACATCTACCAACTGTGCTCATCCTCAAAGTATCCTTTTAAATGATAAAACAAGTATTATACCTATTATAGATAATAAAACTCAGGCCCACAATATATAAGGAACTTATCAATCGCTAGCAGGATTGCAATCCAGGGTCATTTATCTAGTTAGCAATAAAATCACAACTAAAACACAAATCTTTTAATTTACACTATCCTCACTGGATAAAAGCTAAATACGCTATACTGATAAAATGCCAGACATGAACTAATACCACTTACCTGAGACTCATGTGCAGTGCTAGATCCTGTACAATACGATCGTGTTTGCCGGTAGATGAGTGCTTCCCTAACCAGCTTGGGAAAGTAGGAAACTGGGTCATGTACCCCCTCATTAGCTCTCCAGGAAGAACACTGGCATAAATGGCCTAAAAAAAAAAAAATCAATTGCAGTCCACAATCTGAATTCAGTACAAAGTTGCTTCCTACACAGCTGTTGGCTTCTGAGTCGTTTCTGGCAAACAAAGCCACACTGTCCTAGGCACCTAATTCCAGGGCATCACACCCTTTCCCTCTGTCTCTCATCTGTTGGTAGGGGAAGCTACTCCCAGAGAAAACAACAGATCAGTCCAAAACACGTTATGGCCCTGAGAGAGATCTTGCTAACTAGGTCTCCGCACCAACTGACCCCAAGAAACTTGATGATGCACAAAAGATTTTAAGAGGAACATGACTGTCTTTAACATAAACTATTGACAGCACAGGTAGATCAAAGCATAGAAAACTGAATAGAGTATTAAGTAAACCAGCACTTGAGAAAAGATTTTATTTTTTAAAGATTTATTTATTCATGAGGGGGGGGGCAGAGAAATAGGCAGAGGGAGAAGCAGGCTCCCTATAGGGAGCCCAATGCAGGACTCGATCCCAGGGCCCTGGTATCACAACCTGAGCCAAAGGCAGACGCTCAACCTCTGAGCCACCCAGGTGCCCCAAGAAAAGATTTTTAAAAAGGTATTCTTAAAAAAAAAAAAAAAAAGGTATTCTTGAATATCTTCTTTATCCAGGGCTTATACTTTCTTGAAGTTGGAATTACACATAAATTTTGTATCCTGCTTTATTCTAACAATATTCTCTCATAAGCATTAGACAATCTTTATAAATAATTTTAAGGACTGCGTAATAGTCCATCAAGAGTATTTATCATAATCATTCTCCTATTGCTAGACATGGAGATTTTCTCCAATGTCTTACAGTATCAAAACTAATATAGTATTTTTGTACAGCAATCTTTTCCTATGTTTAAAGTTATTTCTTTAGGATAAATTCTTAAAGGTACAATTATTAGTTTAAAAAGTGAACAGTTGGGGATCCCCATGTGGCTCAGCAGTTTAGCGCCTGCCTTCGGCCCAGGGCGTGATCCTTGAGACCCGGGATCGAGTCCCACATCAGGCTCCCTGCATGGAGCCTGCTTCTCCCTCTGCCCCCCCCCCTGTCTCTCATGAATAAATAAATAAAATCTTTTAAAAATAATAAAAAATAAAAAAATAAAAAGTGAACACTTGTAAAACATAATAGAAAGGATTCTTTACATCCAGAATGCATCTTTATTTTTTGTTTTCCAACAATGTATAAGTAGAATTAAGAGAGGAGGAGGCCTCCCAAAAGTCCCTTGCTTATTATTACTCACATATCAGCTGCTGACCTGCCCTGGTTGCATTACTTCAACTAGGAGCTACTTAGTAACCATTTAGGAGAGCCAAAAAATGACAAAAGAAATGGACTCTTAAGATAAAGCAGAGCAAATAAAACTTTTGACTGACATCTTACTTACGTCAAGAATCTAATGTTCCTATTTCCCTATGTCAATTTACATAAAACATTTTGAAACCCTGAAAAATAAGGCTTTTTAAAAAATTTTTATTAAGAAATCACAATTGTGACCACAGAGTGATTTAATTTAGAACAAGACTTTATTTTTGCCCTAAGAGCCATAATGTTTATCTGGTATTTCAAATAACTCCAGGAGGGGAGGGGCAAGATGGCGGAAGAGCAGGGTCCCCAAATCACCTGTCCCCACCAAATTACCTAGATAACCTTCAAACCATCCTGAAAATTTACGAATTCGGCCTGAGATGTAAAGAGAGACCAGCTGGAATGCTACAGTGAGAAGAGTCCGCGCTTCTATCAAGGTAGGAAGACGGGGAAAAAGAAATAAAGAAACAAAAGGCCTCCGAGGGGGAGGGGCCCCGCGAGGAGCCGGGCTAGGGCCGGGGCGAGTGTCCCCAGGACAGGAGAGCCCCGTCCCGGAGAAGCAGGAGCTGCACCAACCTTCCCGGGCGGGCGGAAAGGGGCTCGCAGGGAGCTGGAGCAGGACCCAGGAGAGCGGGGATGCCCTCAGGCTCCCTGGGACACTAACAGACACCTGCGAGCGCAGGAGAGTGCTCCGAGCTCCCTAAGGGCTGCAGCGCGCACGGGGGACCGACCCGGAGCAGCTCGGAGGGGCTCGGGAGCGGCTCCAGGGAGGGGGCTGCGGGGCGGGAGCGCGAATCCAACAGCGCAGGCCCCGGAGCACAGGGCGCCGGGACACAGCCCAGGATCCGGCCTCCTCCGGGACAGGCAGAGGCCGGGAGGGCCCAGGACAGCGGGAGGGCCCAGGACAGCGAGGACGCTCCTGCCCCGAGCTGAGCAGATCAGCGGCCCCGCCCCGGAGCCTCCAGGCCCTGCGGACAGAGAACCGAGAGCCCCGAGCCCCCTGTCCGAGAGCCCCGAGCCCCGTAGTTCCTGCGGAGGCTAAATCCAGGCTTCCAGAGTTGCCATAGCAACTGCTGCTGTTCCTCCTGGGGCCCCACGGGGTAAACAACCCCCGCTGAGCCCGGCAGCAGGCAGGGGCAGAGCAGCTCCCCCAAGTGCTAACACCTGAAAATCAGCACAGCAGGCCCCTCCCCCAGAAGACCAGCTGGACGGACCAGTGATACTCCCCCGTGTTCCAATACAACTTGTTTTTGGCCACTCTGCACTGAGCAAAATGACTAGAAGGAAAACCTCACCTCAAAAGAAAGAATCAGAAACAGCCCTCTCTCCCACAGAGTTACAAAATCTGGATTACACTTCAATGTCAGAAAGCCAATTCAGAAGCACTATTCTACAGCTACTGGTGGCTCTAGAAAAAAGCATTAAGGACTCACGAGACTTCATGACTGCAGAATTTAGATCCAATCAGGCAGAAATTAAAAATCAATTGAATGAGATGCAATCCAAACTAGAAGTCCTAACGACGAGGGTTAACGAGGTGGAAGAACGAGTGAGTGACATAGAAGACAAGTTAATGGCAAAGAGGGAAACTGAGGAAAAAAGAGACAATCAATTAAGGGACCATGAAGACAGATTAAGGGAAATAAATGACAGTCTAAGGAAGAAAAACCTACGTTTAATTGGGGTTCCCGAGGGCGCCGAAAGGGACAGAGGGCCGGAATATGTATTTGAACAAATCCTAGCTGAAAACTTTCCCAATCTGGGAAGGGAAACAGGAATTCAGATCCAGGAAATAGAGAGATCCCCCCTAAAATCAATAAAAACCGTTCAACACCTCGACATTTAATAGTGAAGCTTGCAAATTCCAAAGATAAAGAGAAGATCCTTAAAGCAGCAAGAGACAAGAAGTCCCTGACTTTCATGGGGAGGAATATTAGGGTAACAGCAGACCTCTCCACAGAGACCTGGCAGGCCAGAAAGGGCTGGCAGGATATATTCAGGGTCCTAAATGAGAAGAACATGCAACCAAGAATACTTTATCCAGCAAGGCTCTCATTCAAAATGGAAGGAGAGATAAAGAGCTTCCAAGACAGGCAGGAACTGAAAGAATATGTGACCTCCAAACCAGCTCTGCAAGAAATTTTAAGGGGGACTCTTAAAACTCCCCTTTAAGAAGAAGTTCAGTGGAACAATCCACAAAAACAAGGACTAAATAGATATCATGATGACACTAGACTCATATCTGTCAATAGTAACTCTGAACGTGAATGGGCTTAATGACCCCATCAAAAGGCGCAGGGTTTCAGACTGGATAAAAAAGCAGGACCCATCTATTTGCTGTCTACAAGAGACTCATTTTAGACAGAAGGACACCTACAACCTGAAAATAAAAGGTTGGAGAACCATTTACCATTCAAATGGTTCTCAAAATATACCCTAAAAACTATAGAACACTTCTGAAAGAAATTGAGGAAGACACAAAGAGATGGAAAAATATTCCATGCTCATGGATTGGCAGAATTAATATTGTGAATGTCAATGTTACCCAGGGCAATTTACACGTATAATGCAATCCCTATCAAAATACCATGGACTTTCTTCAGAGACTTAGAACAAATTATTTTAAGATTTGTGTGGAATCAAATAACTCCAGGAACTAAAAAGCTATTTTGTTCTCTTTAACTAAAGCAGAGTCTGCATTTTAAGGAGAGCCCTGTGCTTACCTGTGTAGGCAGAAGACTCCAGTTTTGCTTACTCCGGATCTGACGGTCCACTAGGTCACCATCACATATGCTATCTGCTGCTCTGCTTAAAAGCATCAAGTGCTTTTTCATGTCGCCCCTGCATAAATAAACCAGTCTGGATTACACCACTGTCCATATCTCATACCCCTCTTTCTCAGGTATATGGCCTTCGCTGTGCCAGGAGGGTGTGAATTCTATCCCTTACTAACTCTGATCACTCACCCTGCAGCTACAGGTTTCACATGTAAGTAGTTCTCCTGGACGAAGAGGGGTGCTATTGAATAATCATGAAAAAAGAGATCTGACTTATCCACAAGTGACATGTGAGCAGTCTCCTCTCCAGCTGCAAACACTTTCCGGGCAACATCAAACGGGCCCTAAAAAAAGGGAAGGACACACCTAGAAAAATGGCCAATGTCCAAAATACTGACAACATCAAATGCTGGCAAAGATGTGGAGCAATACGAACTCTCATTTATTGCTAGCAGGATTGCAAAATGGTATAGTCACTTAGAAGACAGATTGGCAGTATTTTTTTACAAAACTATACTCTTACCATTCCATCCACAATTGTCCTCCTTGGTATTTATCCAAATAAACTGAAGACATACTACACAAAAAACCTGCACATGGATCTTTACAGCAGCTTTATTCGTAACTGACATTTGGAAGCAATCCAAATGTCTTTCAAAAGGTGAATAAACTGGTACATCCAGACACTGGAATATTATACAGCACAGAAAAGAAATGAGCTATAATAAGACCATAGAAAATATATGGAGAAACCTTAAATGAGTATTACTAATTCAAAGAAGCCAATCTGGGGGCCCCTGGGTGGTAGTTGGTTAAGCATCCAACTCTTGATTTTGGTTCAGATCATGATGTCAGGGTCGTGAAATAAAGCCCTGCATCATAGAGCCTGTTTAAGTCTTTCTCTCCCTAACACCCTGCCCCTCCCCCAGTCATACTCGCTCACTCTCTCAAGAAAGAAAAAAAGAAAGAAGCCAACGTAAAAAGTTTATATACTGTATGATTCCAACTACATGACTCATTGTGAAAACTGATGCAACTACAGAGACAATAAAAAGATTAGTGATTGGGGTGCCTTGGGTGGCTCAGTCAGTTAGGCAGCTGAGTCGATTTTGGCTCAGGTCATGACCTCGGGGTCATGAGATCAAGCCCTGTGTCGGGCTCCACACTAAGCCTAAAGTCTGCTTATCCCTCTCTCTCTGCTCCTCCCCTCTGGCTCATGCTCTCTCTCTAAAATAAATAAATAAAATCTAAAAAGATTAGTGATTGTCAGGGGTTGGAAGAAGTGATGGATAAACAGGAGGCAGTGAAAGTATTCTGTGTGATATACAGTGGTAGATAAAAGCTTGATACATTTGTCAAAACCCATGGAAGCTGTATCAAGAGTGAACTAACCCTGATGTAAACTATGGACTTTGGGTGATAATGATGTAGGTTCAACTATAACAAATGTATCACTCTGGTGGGGGTATTGATAGAAGAAGAGGTTGCAGGAGTCTGGAGGCAGAGAATAAGAAGGGAAGTCTTTGTACTGTGTGCTAAATCTCGCTATGAAACTAAAACTGCTCTTAGACTTCTAGTTTCAAGTTTCAGACAGGTTATTAAATGATAAGCCATTTGAAATAGATTATTCTCAAAGTTCCAAAACTTCAAAACATGAAACCTATACATAAGGGACTCTGAAAAGGCCATTTTATAACTACTGAAGCATGAATATAATTTAAAACTTCTATATCTCATAATTTATACATAATATACGCTAACAAACAGCCCTTGAAGAAAAATTAATCTGAAATAGAAAATCTTTTATAGCAGCTGTCTTTCTTATTATAAATATCCACAGGTTCAATAGGTGTTATCAAGGAACTATAATAACTACTTCTATTAAGTTAATATGAACAGAACAAGAAATGCTTTAGCTTGAGAAAGTAAATGGAAATTTATTTTACCAGTCTGATATCCTTTTTGGCTCTATGAGAATCAGCCTTGGCCTGGTCATAGGTTAGTGCCTTACTGCGTGCACACCACATACTCAGATTGTGTAAAACCTAACAGAAATCATAAATAAGACATAGTCAAGGTGAAACTCTGAAAAGTCAAAGGCATTAATTCAAAAGAATCAGCAACTGTTAATAATACCTATCCCATTTACCTGTCTGATATCTTGATTGGCTCCCAAAATTATTTCATTCATAGCCGGAGGCGGGATCTTCAAACCCTCTTTAAATGCAATAGACATCATAGCACCCTGAAATTAACAAAGGGGAATCGTAAATTTTTTTAAGTCACATAATCAGGTATTTTTAAAAAGTTTATCAGATACTTTTAAAAACTGACCAAGAAGTAAAAAGGATAGGGTGATGGAGAAAAAAATTCCAATCATCATACCTTAATCTGTTCAACTCGAGGTCTTTGAAAACGAAGATCAAAACAATAATGAACCAAAGAACGAATCTTAGGATGATTTCTATCATTGCACATGCAAATAATGGGAATTTTTGTATGTTTTATCAGGCCAATTAATTCCTAAAAGGCAAATTTGCAACACAAAAATAATTAAAAAAACAATAATACTACACAGTATTTTAGGTTTTGAAAATTTCAGCAAAATGCTTTAATTGTTGTAAATATCACAATGTAATTAGTTCTTTAAATATTAAAAAAAAAACCCTACAACTAAAAATTCAACAGTAAAACTGCAAAACTACAGTGCTTTCCTTACCTGAATTCCTCCCCTGTCCTCATTGCCTGCCATGCCATCTACTTCATCCATGATAAGAGCATGTTTCGAGCCTACTGAATGGACTGCTCCATCTGACCCATGTTGAGAAGCTATGGGATGCAACAAAAAAGAGCAATTGCTCAAATACTGCTGCTTTATTAAAAAAACACATAAACATTTTAAACTGACAATACACAGGTCCATAGTACAAAAGGCAAGAGGTACAAGCATATGCAGATGAAAATAAATTCTCCCTCCCACCTTTGCCCTCTCAGGTATCCCTATACATATTAAAAACATATGTGTGTAAAAATACACATCTTGGTTTTATCATTCAATATATTTTGGTGATTTGTTCCTTATCTGTAAATATAGAACACCTCATTTTTTAAGGCTGTTTAACAATATCCCATTTTACACATGTATCATAATTAACCACTATCTATTAAAATACGAAGATGCTTCCAATCATCTGCTATTACAAATCATACTACATGAATATCCTTGTATATGTAATTTTGGATATATAGAAGTATATCAATTGCTAAATTCCAAGGCTAGAATTTCTGGGCTAAAGGGTCTGTATAATGTCACTTTTGAGAAATACGGCCAGACTACTCTCCAGAGTAGTATCAATTAACACTCCCACCAACCAGAGTAATGTTTCCTGAGCAAATCCTTTTAATAATGATTTGCTACACCACTGAAAATACCAAGAATTCAGGTGATCATGCAATAGCCACTTTAGGTTCTAAATATGCACTAGTGAGTCTGTGGTTTGAGCATCTTATTTTTCCAATCAACTCTGGCCATACTAGACCACCAGCTATAGCCAGAAACATAGTGGCACCTTCATAGTTTCTTCTCCTCTGCTACTATCTTTGCCTATATGAACTCTTTTACCACAAATGATCCTCTTCCATCCTTCAAGATCTGTCAAACAAATGTCACCCATTATCCTGGCTTTCCCTAGTGCTCCAAATCGAATCACTTCATCTACAGGCCTCTATTACCTCACTCATCACCCTGAATTCACTATGAATCCTCTAAAATAATGTGCAAAAATGCATAAACATATCCATATATGTACTTTAACACATTCTCAGAAACCTCTAAGACCTGAAAAAAAGGTGGGAGGACTATTGTCCTGTAAGAGTTCCATCATTAGGATTTAGCAGGGTGCCTGGCACATAGTAATGTTCAATTCTGGTTTCTAAATGTTGAAGTGAACTTGTTTTCCTTACATAACCAAAGAAAAACAGTTCAAATACCCACATACTTGAATAAAAGCCTGTGATGCTGGTATTATTCAGTGATTCAGCAACAACCTCCTTCAAACTATTCTTACTCCGAGTGTCACTCGCATTCAGTTCCACGTAGCTATATCCCAATTCCTAAACAAAATATTGGAAACCATTACTATCACAATGCAAATTAACTCTCCCAAAAAACAAGGCAATTAATGAAGAAAGAGGGCATAAAAAAGACAAAGATGATATGATAATATGCCTCATAATATAAAGAGATTTTTTAAATATATACATATATACCACACATACACAAACATAAGTTCGGTCTTAAAACAACAGCTGATAAATCACTCCTCTAGAAGCGGTTTTACTAATAAGTTTGCTTCTTAAAGTCCTATATAGAATTAAATACACCCATCCCAAGATTTTAATATCAGATATAGAATTAATTATAAGATACCAAAAATAATTCTTGACTCTTCAAGATAAAGATAAATCATTCATTATCAAACCGTCCCAATACACAATCTTCTTACCAAGCTGTGAAAAATCAAGTTATTCTGGCTCATTTCCCAAATTTGATTATATTGATCATAAGCATTATAAAATGCCTTAAAGCAATTCCCCTCCAGAATAATAATAATAAAGGGAGAAAAGAGTCATGTTCACAATTTGTAGAGACCAGGAAAAAATTTTTTTTTGTTTTTTTAATATTTATAATAGAATAGAAAATATATAGCCGTTATACCAGCTATTAAATAAATGTTTAATTTATGCTCAAAATATAAAACAGGGACAAAACAACCACCAGCTTATAGGACAAGGCTTGGGAAATCCAGTAATAAATTTAAAACAAGCTTAAAATCCCTCATTTTATCATTCTGATACCACTTTATTATTTCACATTCTGATACATGAACTCTGGTTTGCTCTAAGGACTCCTCCTCTCTCTGTCTCAATAAGGAAGCCGTAGAGACCAGAGCAAAGGCAGGCTCAGACTACCTGAGTTCATACTCTGCCACTAGCTTCCTCTGTTAAGCCCATTTCATTTGTCACATGAAGATGGTAAGAATACGTATATTTAGTACAAAGAATTTTTACAAGAATATATAAGATATTTATATCCCTAACAGTCTATAAAGACACATTTATATTACCTAAAAGATAATGCAGCCAAGGGCTTATTAGCACATTGCCTGATACATACGTAAATATGACCTATTATTTTAATTATCAATATTAAAAAAGGATGAAAATGACAAATATCCCCATAACCAAAGTAAATTCAACAGTTTGACTTTAGAAAGTATACTACACAGAAAGTTAAAATACATATACCACAGACCTACTAACACACACATGTGTATCTCCTACACATGCCCATTCCTGGGTTAGCTTTCCAACTGCACTATAGCAGAAAACTCACCTGACAAACCAAAGAAGCTGTGGTGGTCTTGCCAACACCTGGAGGGCCTGAGAGCAGCGCTGCTTTAAAACTAGAGCCATCATCTTTGCCAGCAAACTTACCAAACTTTGCTGCTAAGAAAAAAGAAGTTCCAGAGTGTTAGCCTACGTTATCTAAGAGAAATTCAGGAATGGCAGGAATCACTGTGCATACACTGAAAATCAAGCACAGTCCTCCAGTTTACTTCTAAATTTGTAGAATATTTTCTACAAACCATAAACGAGTTTCCAGATCATTTAGTGAAATTCTACTGCCCACCTCACTTATACCCATAATAACACACTACAACTAATTCTGAAATTCTGATTTAAAACCATAATTTTATGAGTTTCCTATTCTATAAAAGCACAGGTCAGGAAGCAGAGTATCTGGGCTCCAATCCTAACTCCAGCTATCCTAATTCCACCGCTCACCAACTGGGAGAAGTGATTTAACCTCCTGGGCCCATTTCCTCCTTTGTAAAATGAGGGTAACGATGGCAATGTGCCTGGCAGAGTTATTGTAAAGATAAACATTCTGATCGCAGAGCCAGATGCCTCAATAAATGTCAGCAAGCATCATCAGCTACATGATCACAAAAACAATGAATTGAAGATGGTGTGTCTGCAACTATCCTGTAGAGCCCAACTCTAGAGCATTCTTCTCCCCTTATCCCATGTGTGTCTGACACATCAGGGGTGCTCAATACATAAACGATGACAACATTGGCCAATGTCTAGTGACCAGCTGGACACGGACAACCCAGTCATCACCATGGGAATTCACTGTGCTGCTCACTAAATTTTGCCTTATTTCTCACACAATATCCTCTAAGGCTGCTGGTGAAGCTCAAGAAAACACTATTAACATCTGTGATCTGAAACCTCAGTTTCAAGAATACCCTGGACATTAAATACAGATTTGTACTGTTCATTTTGCACGACAAATACACAGTAAAGAAGCACAGAAACCAGAGCTCAGACCTGCTAAAAGCAAACACTGACAGGATTTTTGGCAGCCTACTCTGTAAGCATGCCTTGGCTTTTAATTTGCACACTCTGCCAGCCCCCAAGTCTCCTTGGCACTCTCAGTGGCTCGCTCACACATCTTCGAACCTTGGTACCTGTATTCTCTCCCACACAATGCTCCTCCCTCCTTTCACCTAGCTAACCCCTAGGAAACTTAGTTTCCAAGTCTTTGCTTAGCTCTCCCTTCCTCCACACACTCCACGCCCTTAGCACCTTACGCCGACCCCTATACCAGTACTTGGCACAACATATCTTAATTGCTGGTTCATCTATGTCTGTGGCTAACTGAGCTCCTTGAGGGAGATGGTTTTGTTCACAACAGCACCTCTGAGGCCTACTATAGCATTTGAACTCAGAGCAGGTTTTCAACAAGTGTTTGCTGAGAGATGAACGAACCAACTATTTTACTTTCTTACGTATGCGGAACTGAGCAATTACACAGTGACAGACACACACAAAATGAACGAAGCTGTAAAATCACCGCGTTTCTTGTCTTCAGAGGGACCCCTGTGCCAATTTTGGAGCCAGCGTAGGAGCTTGTTGGCACAGCTCTGGTCACCTTGCTGTCCAATTATGGTCTTGAGAGAAGTTGGCTTATATTTATCCACCCAGAGCAAATTTTCCACTTTGTTTTCACTGCTGTCACCGGCCAAATTCCTAGCCCGGCTGTCGTCATTTGTCTCCTCAGCCACCTGCTCCTCAAAGTTCAGGCATCTCCAAAGCACACTTGTTTCCTTTTTTACTGACTTTATAGAGCTGTCCTTCTTGGGAGTAAGTCTACTTCTTTTAGATTCTGATTCCTTCTTAGTTGGGCTAATTTTTCTTTTTCCTTGGTCTTTTTTTTGAGGTGTTCTTTCCAATTTGGACTTTTCTTTCTTCATCTTTAAAATTGGAAAAGTGAGGAAAATAGAAAGCTGGTAAGATACACAAAATGTCTATCCTGCTAACTGTACTCTCTAGGGCAACCCAGGATATCCAAACGAGCCACCCAACGTGGGTCTCACTTTTACAATGAACCCTGCTGCTGTGGAATCACCACTTTCCCAACTTTATAAAAATTATCAATAAACACACCAAAAAGCACCCAAATGCAATTTTTTAGGTGAGAACATATCAGTTTACAAATGATAAGTATTCCATAATCAGCCTGAAATCCAAGGTAAATGTTTTTCTAGCTTTCTGATTTATTAAAAGTTAACACCTCCACAAAAACTTGTACCCAAGTATTCACAGCAGCATTATATTTAATTATGATTATAAATTAATTACAAAACTACATTATTACAACCAAAATATAGAAACAACCCAAAATGGCCATCAACTGATGAATGAATAAACAAAATGTGGTATGCATACACAATGGAATTTTAATCACCAAAAGAAAGGGAGCAAAGTCCTGACACATGTATTTCAGTGCAGTTGAACCTTGAAAACATACTAAGTCAAAGAAGCCAGATACAAAGGTCACAAATTGCATGTTTCCCTTTATTTAAAATGTCCAGGACAGGCAAATCCATAGAAACAAAAAATACAACAGTGGTTGCCAGGGGCTGGGGATGAGGAATGAGGGCTAACTGGGTATGGGGAATGATGAAAATGTTCTAAAATTAGATACTGGTGATGGCTGTACAATTGTGTGAATATACTAAAAATCTCTGACATACATTTTAAAAGGCTGAATTTTATGGGTGAAAGTCTCAGAAAAGAAAAAAAATCTGCCTCTTTGCCAGTGAGTGGATGCTGAAAATTAGTGGATGAAAGTTTGAGGAGAAATAGGTTATTAGCATTGTACTAACATGGTCTCCAAGATATTTATCAGTTACAAACGGGAAAACAGTCACTTTACTAGTGGAGAAACCAGTCAGAAACCAGTTTAATCAAGGTTAACCTCACTAACAGGAAGACATACTGACCCAGGGTCATGAGATCAAGCCCCAAGTCAGGCTCTGCACTAGGCATGGAGCCTGCTTAAGATTCTCTCTTCCTCTCCCTCTGCCTGCCCCCACCTCTCTAAAAAAAAAAAAAGAAAAAAAAATTAAAAGGCATATTAACATACACATCTAATATAATGCATTGAGGACAAAATACCCCTTCTGTGGAATTCCTGCCAAAAATGTGTAACTTCAAATCTAATCATAAGACATCAAAAAACACAAGCTATGAGACATTCTACAAAAGAACTAACTAGTACTCATCAAAAGTCTCAAGTCTGGAGGGTACCTGGGTGGCTTAGTTGGTTAGGCACTGGACTCTTGATTTCTGCTCAGGTCATGATCTCAGTGTCCTGGGATCAAACCCTACACTGGGCTCTGCCCTCAGCATGGAGTTTCCTGTCCCTCTTCCTTTGCTCCTTCGCCCACCTACCCTAGCTCTAAAATAAATAAAATCTTAAAAAAAAAAAAAAGTCTCAGGCCAGGGTGCCTGGCTGGCTTAGTCAGCTAAGCTTCTGACTCTTGATTTCAGCTCAGTTCATAATCTCATGGTCATGAGACTGAGCCCATGACAGGTCCTGTGCTTGGTGGGGAGTCTTCTTCTCTCCCTCTCCCTCTGCTCCTCTCCCTGCTCATGTGCACATGCTCACTCCCTCTCTAAAATAATTATCTCTTGAAGGCCATAAAAAGACAAGGAAAGGCTGAGGAACTGTCATAGATTGAAGGAGATGAAGAACAGACCACAACTAAATGCAGTTTGGGATCCTAGAAAAGAAAAAGGACAATTGGGGAAAAATGTGAAGTTTGAATAACACCGGTACTTTTAGTTAACAGTATGGTATCAATGTTAATTTCCCAGCTTTGATAACTTCTGGTTGGTTATGTAAGTTGCTCACATTAGGGGACACTGGGTGAAGGGCCAATCCCAATAATTCCCCAAGACTATTTAACTGCAATAAGTAGGAAGACCACCTCACTACCTGGGTGACAGAGCTTGGGGACATTAAAGCTGGACCACTGGCACCTTGTGTCCTGTATGTGGAAAAAGTCCTGAATAGAGTGGAAATGATTGAGGACGACAAAACAGAAAACGGCAACAGAAACTGAAAGAGTCCTGATAGCACTGTGGTCTCCAGACCCAGTAATTCTGACATCAGACGCGGCCAGCCCACAGTTGAGTATATGAGACAACGTTTTTCCTTTTTGCTAAAACTAATATGGGCCTCTATCCTGAAAAAGCCCTAATAAGTTAATAAATTCTTTTTTTTATTTATTTTTATTTTTATTTATTTATGATAGTCACAGAGAGAGAGAGAGAGAGGCAGAGACACAGGCAAAGGGAGAAGCAGGCTCCATGCACCGGGAGCCTGATGTGGGATTCGATCCCGGGTCTCCAGGATCGCGCCCTGGGCCAAAGGCAGGCGCCAAACCGCTGCGCCACCCAGGGATCCATAAGTTAATAAATTCTAAATGAAAAGGACATAACATGCTGGGATCTATGACATATCCTTCAAAGAACTCTTAAAAGCAATAACCTTTGTATAAATCACTGCAAGATGTGGAAAGTTTAATAAGTAGATATGGTAGGTGCACTATACTGTGCTCTCGCTCTCTTCATACTCCTTTAAGAAAGGTAAGAAAATACACCAAAGAAGACAGTCTAAATCAAAATCCACCCGCTCAGAAGGAAATAAGGTAGGTTCATCTGTGGTGGAAAGGGAAGTTAATCTTTTAGGTAACAGGCCTGTAGCCACTCACGAAACATCTCTATGAAATAGGAAAGTTGTTAAATATACCAACTGAAATAAATCAAGTTCATTTTATACAAACCTCAGCTTCAACTGCTATTTCGTACTTAGACTTCTTGCCTGGCATGGTTCGAATCAGATTTAATAGGCCATCTTCATCAATAATATTTGTCCCCAAGGCTGCTGCCTATTGATTAAAAATACAAATCATTAAAACCATACCCTAACCATTACCTTTTGTCAAAAAAAAAGAATGATTAGGGTCTGTTCATAGGTGAACACCACATCTGTAAATTAGAAAAACTGGAATATAAGTTTTAAAAACCATATTCATGAAAAAGTACCATTAAAAAGAGAAAATAAGAGATCTATCCCCTAAGAGTTATGAGCTGGCAATGGAGGCATCACATTACCACTTCTGTGGGTTGCTTTATCTTTTCTTCTACCCTAGGTGGGACAAAGCCACTCCAGGCCTTCCAGGATGGACTACTCTGGAAGATTTTGTCTTCCCCCACCATCTTCTCTGTTAAAATAACTCCAATGTGTCCACCTCCAGGTGATGAATTACGATTGAAGAATCAGAAAAGTCCTCATCCTCCCCAAACTCCCTTATAAGCTATGAATAGCAGCCATGTGACAGCTCTGGCCAATGAGACTTAAGGGGAATTCTACAAGAGGTATTTCCAGGAAAACTCTTATAAAGCCAATCACAACAAGTGTGACATCATGCCATGCTTCCTTTTTCCTGCCTTAAATGGGGACCTGAATCCCTACAGCTATAGTTACCTTGTAACACAAAGCAAGGTGCACAGAGACTAAAGCTAACACAATCAAGATGTCACAGATGGGGAATGGAAGTAGCTTAGCTACATCACAGAGCTGCTGGGCCATCCCCTGCAACTGCCTATTTCTGGGATTCTTGTCAGGTAAGAAAATAAGCAGCTATTTGCCAAACCACAGTTATCAGATACTCTGTTACTTGGCTAAACAATTTTCCCCAACACAAAAAGAGCTTTCAATAAACAAAACTTAAGATGGAGTCTCACAGTGGCATATATAGAAGTATTTAGGCCTAGAAGAAAAAGAAAACTGCATTTGCTTCTATCTTTGAAAAATGATCTAAACTAGAATACTACACTGAGAAATTCAACTGAACAGGAACTGTGCCTTCAACTGGAAAGCCAAAATCCTGAAGTTGAAGCCAGAGCACATCTGCAGAAGAAATAATATAGGGATGAAATTACTTTTCTAATTTTTCTCTTCATTTAATTCTGTGTAGAGGGCATTACTACAAATAGTCCCAGTAAGAGCCTGCCAAGGCAAGCAGACTATCTCACTGTGTAAAAAAGATAGCAGGACCCACCTTATCACTCTTGGACTGTCCACTATCACGACCCATGACAAGGTAGTTTGTTTTCTTGCTGACATTTCCTGTTACTTTTCCCCCATAACGCTCAATTAGAGACTTGGCCTCATCTCGTTCGATGGACTCCAGCACTCCTGTGATTACAAATGTAAGGCCTTCCAAGCAATTTTCAGCTCCCTAAAAACCAAAATGTTCAAGCAGAGAGGAAATTACATGGTAACCTTCCAAAGAAATATTTGGCATCAAAACTGCAGGAAGTTGATTTTTCTCATTTGACATCATAAATAATCTCAGCATGAAAAATTTGCAGGAAATTCACAGCAAGTAAGTAGAACCTGAAATTAAATCCTGAGAAATTCTCATGTAGGTTAGCATTTAATAAACTTAAAAAACCAGCAATGAAAAATATATATCCACTACACTTCACTAAAGCTTATGAATCTATTCATACTACTCTCATGTCTTTTTAATATTTAAATCACTAATTTGCAAAACTTTAAACAACTAGATAAAATCCACCTACAGAATTTCTTGTTAAAAAAGAAAAATTTGATTCTAAAAAGGCTAAGCAAGTTTGAGCTCTTGCCCTTCTCTCTGTGTGATAGTAAATCGAACAAACTGTAAGTAACTTAAAGGCAAAATCATATTATCTCTTGATTAGAAAGATAACTTAATATACAAAAGATACTAGCCAAAGAGAACTGGATGAAGGAGACACTTAATCTTAATTGGAACTATGAATAGTTATAGATTTTTTCAAATTTTTGCAATGGTTCAATAAAATAACCAAGGAAAATGAAAATTATGTAAAAACCATTCCAAGTTACTTATTACCCTTTGAACAGAGAATTGGGATCAATATAGATTTAAAATAGGCCTGAAATGAAGAAGCTAAGCAAATATCAAAGACTACCCCAATACAAGTTCAATCTTTCACCATCCTGCTAAAGAATCTTTCTTAGTGGGGGGAAAAAAGCTATGAATCTGCTTGGAGAGAAAAAGTTTGATTAATGACTCAAGGTCCCTTCAAGCCCTATGATTCTAGGATTGAAATAATCTTGTGACCACTAAGGTATTTAAATTATTCTCAACAAATTCAAAATGACCCTGGGAAAGTCCACATGCAAGCCTCTATCCCACACCCTAATCACCTATCCTGAACTATCAACCATTGCAGCTCTGAATACCTATTTTACAACCAATCTCAGCATTATTAGCCTCTTGACCAAACTCTTCCACTCTAGAACATGTGGGACCAGCAACCTACCCAATATCCTCAACCTCTACTCAGTATTTCCTCCACCATCTTGCCTTCATTGAGTCCCCTAAGAACTTCACTTTGCCTAAAGTCCTCTCAAGCAGCAGCACTTGGGTGGCTCAGTCGGTTCAGCATCTGCCTTTTGGCTCAGGTAATGATCTCAGGGTCCTGGGATTGAGCCCCACATTGAGCTCCCTGCTCAGCAAGGAGTCTACTTCTCCCTCTCCTTCACCTCCTCCCCCAGTTGTGCATGTTCTCTCTCTCAAATAAATAAAATCTTAAAAAAAAAAAAAAGTCCTCTCAGGAGCTTGCTGAGTCTTACAGTCTTTCTTACACCACATGCAAGAGGCAGGGCTGACATCCTCCTCTAGCCCCCTACACAACCCCGCAGCCCTGTAAGGTTCATCCTCATCCCTTCTTTATTAGGGGAACTACTAATCTCCATTTGTGATCTGAATCCTCTCCTCTCTACCTTCTCAGAAATCTTCTATTACATTTGATTATCCTCTTTTTGGTATACCTTCTATCTCCCTTTCTGGTGGATCCAGACCTATCAGCAAAAAGCTCTGGTTTTATGACTACCATATTCCTCAAAACTGAGCCCCTCCAGGGTTATTGGTTACTTAAGGGAAATTTGTTCTAATAGTATCAAGCAGTAATTCATACTATAAATAAAAATCCCTAAATCACAAAGATGGTGACTAAGGCTTTTCTGTTAATTTTTTTTTTTAAGATTTTATTTTTTTAAATAATCTCTACACTCAATGTGGGGCTTGACCTCACAACGCTGAGACCAAGAGTCACAGTCCACTGACTGAGCCAACCAGGGACCCCTCTTCATTTTTAATTATAAATTCTCTACTGCTATGAACATAGTAAATACATGCACGGACCCAGGGACCAGAGGCCCTAACAAAACAGCATGCCCTCTTAGCACTCATACCTTTGGTATTTCTTTGGAGCCCAGGGCTTTGGGGCCTTCTCGATTTAAGTAGCTTCGATAAGCTTGATAATTTGTGCGTCTCTTCTCAGAATCTTCAGGACTTATAGACTTTGGGGAGAGGGGGGGAAATTGAATAAAGTCATGCAAATTCATGTAAAATTCAAAATACGTATCAATAAATACACATTAAGTCACTTCTGTGTTTGGTCCTGAAATTAACATTTTTAGCTAAGCTACACAGTACTCCCCAGTATAGATAAGCCTGGCTTATAAACATCCCTGTATCAGCTCTTCTCAAGCCTTTTGACTCTCTAAAGGCACATATGCAAGGGCAGATTAGGTACATAAGCCAAGCTGCTAGCCCCAAGAGAAGAAACAAAAAAAAGTACATTTCAAAAATTCATGTGAATTTCAAGTTCTTTTCCATAATATAACCATGTGTATTTTAATGAAAAAATTAATTCCCCTTCCCCCCCCAGGTATACTTGATCACACAAGAAGAGATCTCATGTTATCCTATACCCTTGCACACCCCTAAAGCAACATAAATGGCCCTATACCTCTGAGTATATGAGTACTACAGGCTGACGATTGAGGGCTTCATATACACAGCAGGTTCAAACAACAGGCAAGCTTTACTCCAAAAAGTAGACACATTCTATATGCCACCACCACCTCCTTTCTAGGTTGAATGTCTCCTACTCTGTTTCTCTCATATAGACCTCTGGGTCTATCTCAGAAAACCGTGGGGAAACTTTTCAAACTATATATCCCTGGACTCACTCCAAGTTTCTGATTCAGAGATACGGGATATGGCTAGGGCATGTGTATTTGGGGGAAAACCACCCTAGATAATTCTGATTTCAGAACCACTACGAAAAAGGTCTCTTGTTTTTTCTACTTCACATTTCATATTCTTTCAACTTATAAGCCAGCTCAAATCCCTTTGAGAATAAAAATATTACTTTTATACAAATAAATTATTTTAATCAATAAAATAAGTAAGCTGCTTTGGTTAGAAGCTAAGTAAGCCATTAGAAGCTGCTAGACTCTAATCCTACTGTTTTAACAGTGGTTCTCAAACGCTGGTGGGCATTCATAACCATCTGAGCTTATTAAAATACACCTATTCAGACTACAGAGTCATATATTTAATAAGCTTCAAAGGAGAATCCAAGGCATACCAAAATGGGAAAATTATTCATTTATAGCATTGATTCTATAAAAAACATAATTATGATTTATAAACCACTTATAAAGTAACTTTGAAGCACATCCATTTATGAAGTCAAAATTATTTAACCAGGGTAGACTGAATTTATTAAATGCTTTCAAATGCTAAAATAAAAGTTCTAAGTCATTTCTATTCTAACTTTGAAAAATAAGGTGAAGAATAAAGCAACATTTAAAGATTTCTTCTACTTTAATAAAAATAGACTTGCCTCTACAAAATGAACATGTTTAGTGTGCCTGAAGAAAAACATTCATCTACCAGATAAGCATTTAGTGAAAAAGAATCTGAAACCAAATGTTAATTGTTCCCTCAAGCATATTTATGAGCAATGGCCACAAACAAAAGCATCTAGAAATCACCATTTCACTATTCTGCACTAAAAAAAACAGTGATAAGCAGTTAAAACGGACAATATTCTACTTTTAACTCGAAGTGCATTATGAGGCTTGAAGGAACAGTGGTTTCTCATTATGAATCTAACGTGGGTCCAAACAGAGATCTTAAGAAATCATTCAATTCTCAAATATATATAAAAACAAAAATTTTGAAAACTATTCTGCATTATTTCATTGTTTTTTGCCTTTCCAAATGATTTCATGATCTCAATGCTGTTATACAAGAGCAAAATGGGGTACATTCAGGACAAATTCAAATGATTTTAATAATAACAAAAACATAGCACTTATTATGTACCAGGCACTGTTCCAAAATTCCAATACTAACTCAGGTACTATTATTACCCCTATTTTACAAATGAGGAAACCAAAGCAGAGAGAAGTAACACATCTGCTCAATGGCAGGGCTATATGATCTGAAAATGGCTCCAGATTCCGTGCTCAAAAGCCACCATGTTATTATAATGCTGTTTTGTTATGTTTTGTTTTTCACCTCAGAGGAACTGAATTAAAAGTTGGCTCTGCTACTTACTAGCTGGATGATCTTGGAAAAGTTCCTTAACTCTTTCATCAGCCTGTTTCCTCATCATTAAAAACTGAATAATAAAAGTCATGTTACAGGGTTGTTGTTAAGATTAAATGAGATATCGTATGTATTACTGCAATATCTAATACAGTTTAACACTCAATAAATATTGGCTAATTTAGCTACATTAATAAGCTATATTCTGCAAGAGCATCTAAGTCAGATAGCTTAAAAGTACTACCATGACTTATAAAGCTAAAAGTAAACTTGAAAACAGTCAAACCCAAGCCAACACATAGCCCCCAAATGATAAACTTCTAGAAAATTTCTACCTCTTTTTTAGCTGGAGAACTTTTGGGTTTCTTAGGAGTCTTTGTCTGTCCTTTTAATTCAACAGCATTTTTTCTTTTTGAAGTCATAGGCTCTGTTTCTTTATAAGAACTCTCTCCTTTTTTTTTCAAAAGGGCCAACTTGGAACTGGCTTTTGGAGAAGTTTCTATTTTGTGAGGTGATGACTTCAAATGTTGCTGAGATCCTATCAAACTTTCACATTTAGTTTGCTTCTTAGGACTACAGTTCTTCCTGCCATCTGAAAATTGTTCTGTTTTTACTAGAAAGAAAGAAAAGAATATGACTGTTGTTTTGGGAAAAAAATGATACTCCAAATCAAGACCTTTTTTTTCATTTTTCAATGAAATAATCTTAGTAGCACACAATATGGTGATCTCTTAAGATTGGAGTTCTTGGGCAGCCCGGGTGGCTCAGCGGTTTAGCGCCGCCTTCGGCCCAGGGCGTCATACTGGAGACCCGGGATCAAGTCCCGCGTTGGGCTCCCTGCATGGAGCCTGCTTCTCCCTCTGCCTGTGTCTCTGCCCCTCTCTCTCTCTCTCTCTCTCTCTCTCTCTCTCTCTCTCTCTTTCTCTGTATCTCTCATGAATAAATAAATAAAATATTTTTTAAAAAGAAAATCTTAAAGATTTTAGTTCTTTATACAGAACATTTATTTTTAAAACTTACACATTTGTACATTTTTGTATAACCAGTTCAAATTAAAGGATCTGTCTTTTTAAATATAAAGGACTCATGGGGCACCTGGGTGGCTCAGTCAGTTAAGCACTGGACTCTTGGGTTTCTGCTCAGGTCAGGATCTCAGGGTTGTAAGATCCAGCCCTGTGCTGGGCTCTACACTGGATGTGGAGTCTGCTTAAGATTCTATCCCTCCCTCTGCCCCTCCCTCCTCAAAATAAAATAAATGAATGAATGAACCTCAAAATAAATGAATGAATGAACCTCAAAATAAAATAAATGAATGAATGAATGACTCATTACTTCAAATGATATCATACACATCTAAGGCCATGGCCTTTATTCCACAGATAAACTTCAATGACCTGAAACTTACACAGAGAAAACTTACTGAGTAGAATGTCACATAAAAATTCTGTGTTTGTAGGGGCACCTGTGTGGCTCAGTCAGTTAAGCATCCAGCTCTCGGTTTTAGTTCAGGTCATGATCTCAGGGCCATGAAATTAAGCCTTGTGTCAGACTCTCTGCTCAGCACAGAGTCAGCTTGAGACTTTCTCCCTCACCCCTCCACCCCCCTTCCCTTCCCCTGCTCACCACCTACAAACACACACACACACACACACACACACACACACACACACTCTCTCTCTCTCTCTCTCTCAAATAAGTTTTTGAAGATTTTATTTATTCATGAGACAGAGAGAGAGAGAGAGAGAGAGAGAGAGAGAGAGAGGGGAAGAGACATAGCAGAGAGAGAAGCAGGCTCCATGCAGGGAGCCCAATGTGGGACTCGATCCCAGGACTCCAGGATCACACCCTGAGCTGAAGACAAATGCTTCATCACTGAGCCACCCAGGCGTCCCAATAAATAAATATTTCTTAAAAATGTCTGTATTTGTAATATAGTCTGAAAGCCCAAAATTCTGTAATTTCAAGGCTATATAAATGAATTTACTTATAGGAGTAAGACCATCTATACTAGCAGATGCTTAGATTATCAGGACCAGTAAAAAATAAAACCTACAGACAATCAGCAGGAAAGATTCTGATGACATGGACAACTACAAGTCAACTCTATGAGCTTGAAACATCTTTGCCATCTATGCTGAAGCCTACATGTTGCAATGCACTTGGAAATTAACATTAACATGAAACCAAGAACTGAAACACATTTTTTACAACAATCATAGACCGGCATTCAACAACAGCTAATATCCAAATATAGCTTTCAAAGTATCTAAGAACATGTTTCAATATTCCTATGAAATAATGTCTACCTAACAATACAAGGCAATTACTGAATAGAATGTTTAAACGGTTTATCATGAATTTTCTTCTGTAAAGGTAAATAAATGTTCTAGCTTACTTTTCTCTGTTAGTATTACCTTTATGAGGAGATTTATGTTTTCCTGCTTTACTTAAATTGGCTTGGACAGATGAAAACGTTTCTCGCTCCTCTGGGTCCTTCCAAGCCTAAGAAAATTTAAAGTGTCAAATGTGACAAATAATGGGAAAACTACTATCACAAAGTATGTTGTTAAGATTGACCAAAGTTTTAATTTAATTAAGTTTTAATTCTAAGGGCCACATTCCAAAGCAGGAAGACAATATAATAAATTCTCATTCATTCATCCATAAAGTTTCTGGGAAAAATGAAGCATTTTTTTCTTAATTTTAACTTTACAGATAAGGAAACTGATGAAAAGTTATAAAAAAAATACATCTATAAAAATTATCACAGTTGTTCCCAACTTGTGAGAATGGAAGACTTGCTTCTGTTTCTTTCATCTCAATTCTTAAATTGTTAGTATTATGCAGTTAAAAACTAAAATCCAAACCCAAAAGACTAAATTTAAAAAACAATCTAAAGCTCAAAAGAAGACAGACACTTTCTCAAGAGAGGGAAAAAAAAAAATTTTCTCCAGTGCTCCTTCAAAACTACATTTTACAAAGAGGTTACAAACTGGGATGCATAACACAGTATTTTTTTGAATAATTATAATTTTAAGAAAATAAAAATAAAAAAATAATTATAACTTGAATGCATTTAGGGGGAGTAAGGGTTTTCAAACGACAAAGTCCCTCCATTCCTTATTGTCTTATATCCACCCACTATAAATCTTTTAAAATAGGTATTAATATTCACAATATTAACAGAATGTGGTTCCTTGGAAACAAGGCTAATTTTTTGGAGATCAGGTGCTTTAAAAAAACAGATTCTTTTAAAGACTCCCAAAAATAAACTCATTATTATTGGAGGCTGTCCTAACACAGATATTAAAATTGCTAATTAGAATTAGCAAAAATGTGTTCCAAAAAGAAGAAACCAGTAATTAGCATTAAAGTTATTAAACTTTGGGCAGCCTGGGTGACTCAGCAGTTAAGCGCCACCTTCAGCCCAAGGCGTGATCCTGGAGACCCAGGATCGAGTCCCATGTCAGGCTCCCTGTGTGGAGCCTGCTTCTCCCTCTGCCTGAGTCTCTGCCTCTCTCTCTCTCTCTCTCTCTCTCTCTCTCTGTGTGTGTGACTCATGAATAAATAAATAAAATCTTTAAAAAATAATAAATAAAGTTATTAAACTTTAAATTTCCTTAAGAACCTTTGTGTTATTCTTTAAACAAGCACATTAAGAGCTCATTTGTGACAGAGAGTAAGTACAAGCTAAAATTCATTGTACTGGGATCCCTGGGTGGCGCAGCGGTTTGGCGCCTGCCTTTGGCCCAGGGCGCGATCCTGGAGACCCGGGATCGAATCCCACGTCGGGCTCCCGGTGCATGGAGCCTGCTTCTCCCTCTGCCTGTGTCTCTGCCTCTCTCTCTTTCTCACTGTGTGCCTATCATAAATAAATAAAAATTAAAAATAAAATAAAATAAAATAAAATAAAATAAAATAAAATAAAATAAAATAAAATAAAATAAAATAAAATAAAATAAAATAAAATTCATTGTACTGTTAAGAAAGATTCTGGTTGGCTTTGGATCAATCAACCTTCCTTTTAGAGCAAGAATAAGTTTCTCAATGAGCTTCCCCAAAAACATCGTTAAAAATTAAAATAATTTAGCTTCTTTCTAGAAGAGTTATTCATGGTTGTTATCTCCAGAGCCTAGAATACACAGGTTTGAAAGGGAACACTGATCTGCAATATATACTCAGAGTACAAACAATCTGGTGATACGCCACCTTTTTGGTCTTGGGCTCTTCATCCAACATAGCTAATGTTCTGGCAAACTCTTCATCTTCATGCAGTTGTCTCTCCAACTGTAAAAAGTATCAAGAGAGTAAGCTTTTTTCTTTTTATAAATAAAAGTTTTTAAATGTTTGAGTCATGATACTTAGAAGAAACTGGAAAAAACATTTTCCACAAAGTATGACATTCTTCCACTTAATAGTTCAGTATCACAGATTGCTTCATTAAGTCAAATTAGATTTCAGAACACTTATTTTTAGTTTTACAGGTGAAACAGACAAATTGTGCATATTTTTAAATCACATTTCTCACTTATAATGTTCAAAGTCTATAGTTTTTCTTAAGAGTCCCAATACAACACTTATAGATCTCTTATTTCTATTTATTTTGAACTCTACAAAGAACTCTGAAAAGAATCTCATCCTAATAGAAAAACAATAGTCTGAAGGGCACAAAAAAGAGTAAATCTAAGAAATAAAGAAAATTATGTAATTTCCTTGCACACAATATAATCATCAAATCTCCATTTTCAGTTACTAATTCAAATATATCTGTTCTGACTTGAGAATTTAAGCCACTATATCACAGAAGTTTTCCTAACATGCTAATATAACACACAGATATTCTAATTACTTTGTTATTATTCCTAGTATTTTCATTTGCAGCAAAATGGAGGTTTTCCAGAAAAGAAGGTGTAGCAGTAGAATATACTTCTCATTTATAAACTCACTGGTATTAGGCCCCCTGATAAAACAGCTTAATGTAACATCAAATAAAAGCCTACTTATTTTATTCAAACAAAGGAAAGAATGTTCAAATCACCCAATCGAAAAGAAAAGGTTTGGAAATTGGCATATACCTGATGAGAACACAGTAACCAAGCCTTTTCTTGTTTTTTAATAAAATAATCTTGAGCTACACAGAACCATAAGCAAGCCAGACAGATGCACATCATTACATTCTCTGTTGCCTAATATTTACTTACCATATCTGAACTACACATCTAAGTACTAAAAAAAAATATATGAAAAATCTTCATCATTGAAAGGTCCTTCAAACTCTAAACCTCCAAGTGCCCTGCAAGGATTTCTGGTTGAAACTCTTATCATTTTCCCAAAATTTCACACTATGTAGTATACGTTAGTAAAGAGAATTTGAGAAGCCAGAACAGAAGAAATGTAAATACTCCCACTAGAAATTCATTATTGGTAATTATGGCATCCTTTGATCAAAAGTCCTGATTTTAATACAATGTTTAGCACAGGTAGTATTTAACATATTAACTTGTTAGATATTAGACACACAATTTATTAAATGTATAAACAAATAGGTAAAAGTGAGAGAAAAAAAGTCTTGGAAAGGTAATTAGAAAAGACATCACAGTGTTTTGTTTTGTTTTTTTTTAAAAGACATCAGTTATTAAAGACCCTCAAAGTCCATCATCAGAGTAATAAATTACTCAAACAAGATTCTAAAAGAATGTGACAGAAATGGGAAAACATGGTTTTATGATACAAAGTACCACAGCAAGTTTGGAAAGGGTGGGACAGACCTCCAGTATACGGGACAGATAAGAAGTCATATCCTTAAAATCACAGTTTTACCTAAACCATTTGACCTTCAGTCATATGGATACCTGTTTATGGTTTATGTAACTCAGTGTAATCAAATAAGATGGAAAAGATTTTGAAAACACAAACTCCAAACTGCCAAAGTATTTCATAAAACTGGAATACTGTTCTCTCACAGTATTTAATAAGAGCCTTTTCTACACCAAGCACTAAAATAAGCACTGAAGTGCTTAACAAAAGTTAAGCAAAACATAAACAGCCCTGGTGGGTGGAGCTTAGAACCTACATATAGGAAGACACATAAATACTAATTATAAGAAGTGTTTAAAAGTAGCTACAATGGGGTACAACACAGTATATAAGAGGGGTTTCTGATATAGTTTAGGAAGTATGAGAAAGTGACACTTAAGCTAATAGCAAGGGGGTTCAAGCATTAGGTATCAAGGTCTGGAGCCTCTGACGGAGACAAACACTGCTCTTAGAAATCCTTTCTTCTTTTGGCTTCCAGAAAATACCAAGCTTTCCTCAAACTCCTACTTCACTAGCCATTTTCTTAAATCTCCGTCATTGGATCATCTTCCTCTTCCTGACCTCTACATATTAATAGTACCCTAGAGTTCAATCCTGAGACTTCTTTTCTGTTTATATACTCTCATCCAGTTACACAGGTTTCAAATACCATTCAAATGCTAATGACCCCCAAACATACATCTTTGGTTTAGACCTCCCCGCTCCCCAGCTCCAGATTCCTCTATAGAAACACCTACTCCACATCTCCACTGGAAATCTATTAGACATCTCAAACTTAACATGTCCAAAACAGAATTCTCTTCTTTGTACCAGTGTTTCTCTTAATAAATGGTATCATCATTGATCCAGTTGCTCAAGCCAAAAAACACGGAGTCCTCTTTTCATCTTCTCTTTCCCTTATACCTCACACCCAATCTGTCAACAACTGGAAGGTTGCACCTTCAAAGCACATACAGATTATGACCACTCCTCATTACCCCTTCCATTATCACCCAGGTACAAGGCAACATCTTCTCTCACTTATCCAACCATAGTAGTCTCCAAACTAATCTGCTTTTGATCTTGCCAGACCATGGTTTATTAACCTCCCAGTAGCCAGAATAATTTTCTTTTAAGATCCATCAAATTGTGTCCACTTCTGTGTTCAACCATTCCAATGGCCTCTCATCTCACAAAAACTAGAATCCAAAACCCTTACCATTGCAAGTCCTCTTGGTAGGTTACAGAGACTTGTCATGACTTACAAGATTTCCAAATTCATCAAATCAAATGTTTCTACCTTAAGAAAAGCACTCGCAGTTCTGTTTAGAGGAAATCTTCCTCTAGGCAGTCAGACTGTCATTTCATTTTGTTCCCCAATGTCACTTCCTCAGAGGGGTCTTTCCAACCCCTCTATTTAAAATGGAACACTCATAACCCCACTAATCACCCCTAAAACTATCTATACCTTCACTTTTCTTCACAGTAGTTATGATGACCTGACTTTTTTCTTTTTTTTCTTTTTCTTTTTGTTTTTACTGTAGTATCCTTAACACCTAAGCTAGAACTGTGCCACATATTCAGTAAGGGATCATAAATATTTGTTGAGTGAATGTAACAGGTGTACTGCCCAAGAGAGCACTCTGAACTAGAACAGATTTAGGGATCATCAGCATATATACAGTATTTAGAGCCACAGGAGTGGATGAAATTACCCATAGTGAAAAGAAAAAGGATATGACCAAATTAAATTATTTTAACTATACTAAATACAGTTTCTATTCAAAGAAATCTAATAATAAATCTTTAACCATCCCTTGCTCTTATTTATCTTTTACATAAAATTAAATTTTTATAAATTATATTTTAACTCATTTTACACATAATTCTTACAATGAGAGTCAATCCAAAATTAAACTAGGACAGTCCAAACTGTTTGCCTAAGTAGACTAAATAGCAAGATACAACATCAAGTTGTTAATGATACGTAAATGAAATGCCAATACCTCTGCATCCTCATCAAGTTGCAATTGCTTGGCAATGGCTTCATCATTTAATCTGGAATCATCTGCATTTTGTGAAGGCTATTTCAAAGAAAATCAAGTAAGATCAGCATAAACCTTAAGTTAAAATTAAGGTGGGTTTTTTTTGTTTTGTTTTTTTTTACTGTAGCTAATTAAATACACCAGTGAGAGATAAGTTTATGTTATAAAATAGTCTCACTGCACACCAGCCAGAAGATTATGTTCACAGCTACTCCCTACCATATCCAATTTCCTAATGAGCAAATATCCTATAAACAGATGGTTCTCAGTTAATTCTATTGAAGTGTTCAAAAGTAGTACCCTGCAAAAAACCTATAAACATATAGTCTTCAGAATAATCCAGAGCATTGGGAAACCAATGTGTGTGTGTAAATGGTTACATTTGTCCGATAGAGGCACTAATGAAATCAATATACACACACCATTTGGCAGGGCTGAATTCAGAAGATTACTTTCACTTTTATTTATCTGTATTTGTTTCTTAAATGTCCAGAAAAAAATAAATCCAACAGCAGCCAAAGTAGAAAGGTCAAAAATATAACAGGTAAGTCCTATTTATAAGTTATATACTTATGACCTCATTTGGGAATAAGCTTACTGTCCAATTCTGTCTGGCTGAGGTCAATGATACCATGAATTTGCATTCTGAGTATTTAAATTGTAAGAGTTACAATTTATTCTTATGATTTAACTTATCTTTTCCCAATTTCAAATATAAAAAAATTAAATGTGCAATATTTTAACTTCCTCACCCTCTAAAATGATGGCAATATGGTTTATCCATTATCACAGAAAAACAATTATCATTAATAAAAACACAGACCTATTTATAACATCCAAATTTCTCTTATTAAAAACAGTGAATGTGTACAAACCCTGAATATTCTTGCTTGCATGTAGAACACTCACCTCTTTTCTTTTGCTTGCTACCATCTTCTTATCTGATCTTTGGACACTCCCAGTTCCAAAATAATCAAGCACTGACGTGGGGGTAAGTTTTATTGGTGATAAAGGTTTATTCTTGGTCTTAGTGTTTTCTTCATTCTTTTTCATGTTTGATGTCCCAAGATAACTATGTGTAGATCCTCCATTCTCTTTTGATTTAGAAGCTGCCTTCTTACACATAAAGTCATCTTCTTCATCTTAAATGGAATATAACCAAATATTATAAAACATCGATTCTAATTTTATAAAGCAACCACTTCCATCAGCTTTACAGAAAGCACACCAGAGCTAGAGAATGCTGATTTATTTTCTTCCTATCTCTTGAATTCAATACTTATCCTCACTTTTACCAATGCCACACATGTAATAAACAATTCCCGCCAATTACCACCCAGAGCACACAAATATATTTACTCATGTATTCAACAATATTTACAGAGCACCCATTATGTACCAACACTAAGGATTTAACAATGAATAAAAAAGACAAAATCCCTGACCTCATGAAGCTTGGGGTCTAGAAAAGGAAAAGATATAGAAGTAAACAAATATATGCTGTCAAGTTATAACCGCTATAAAGAAAAAGTAAAACAGGATCAAAGAATTAAAGAGCAATGGGGGATGCTCTTTCAGTTATGGTTGTCAGGGAAAGCCTCTCTGATAAGCAATGAAGTAACCTCAGGCAATGAAAAGGGCAAGTGCAGAAAACTTCAAGTGAGTGTGCTTGGAGTTTACTGTGACTGCAGCGCAAAGGGCTATAGCACTGGAGTTAAGGTGAGAGAGGTAGGAGTCAAATCACGTGGGATTTTCCAGGTCATGCAAAGAATGTTAGGTTCTATTTTAGAATAAGAATCCACTGAAAAATTTTCAGCAATCAGTGATCAAACTTAAGTCCTGTCCTTTGGAGAACACACCGTCAAGGGGCAAAAGCGAATGCAGGAAGACCATGTTGAAAGCTACTGCTGTTACAGAAGAAATGCTGACGCCTTGGACTAGGTGGTATTTGCAGAGGTGGCAAGAAGCTGTCAGAGTCTAGCTATTTATGAAGTGGGCTGTCTAGCAATATCTAAGCCTTCACTTAAGACTTTAAGCACTTTGTTACATTTTATCTTTCTAAAAAGTTTCCATTAAACATCTGGTTTTAAAAGTCTTTCTAAGCTTTCTAGTCTTTCTAGTCTAACTTGGATACAACAGTGTACCTCAAAAGGGCCTCAAAAAATTTTGTTTGGCTCTGTGATTCACAAGATAAAAAGCTCTTTGTGTTGGCCTAAGACAAAAGACATCCAATAAAAAGAAAAATCTAGGCACTTGTGAAGACTGGGTCACTAGGGGTGGTGGGGACCACTTCATAAATTTGGTGTGCAAGGCCACATATGAGTGAGTCACTTCCTCTCAAATAGTCCTCCGTTCAGCCAAGAGCATTTGCCAGGTACTGTGCTATTCCTACGTGGTTGCCATCTCAAAGAGGAAAATACCTAAGATATGTAAAAATCAAAAAGGACTGTGTCTTACTTTCCAATTACTAAGTTAAAATGAAACTATGAACTCTACAAACTAGAAACCCTTCCAGGTTTCTGATTACTAAATATAAAAAGTAATCCACCACTTGAAGCAAATTCATCACAAATGAATTGTTCACTACAATTCCCAGAAATTTACACCCCAGGCTACCCTCCAAGGGCCTGCAATAATCATGGGTAAATTTGTAAGATGACTCCATACTCCTTGCCACCAACAACTGGACCAGGAGTGGGCACTTGGATCACAATGGGGGCCAATCTTACCCTTGATCAGTTTGCTGAACATGTTTAAACTAAGGTACTAAAGATTCATTCTTGCATTCAGTGAGATGTGACAATGGCCTAACAAATGCCATTTTGCTTAAAGTAGGCTTTTTACAATAAGCAGGTTTTAACCTGCAACCAAAAGATTTTAATTAAAGCATACTTGTTTTATCTTCAACTACAGTCAATCCACCTTCAAGCTTAAAATAAAAATTCATTCGTAAATTTTTCTAAGCACATCCACGGCTTGATATACTTACCAGATTTCAGTATAACTATTGTTAACAAGAGTCAGCCAGCAGATTTCAGTAACTGATGTATCTGTTCTCCCTGCCTGATAATCGATCCTTCTTTGCCCCTGCCAGATGTGGGAAAAGGTGTCGGATTCTGATGGTTTTGCAAAGGAGAGGTGACATTATCACCATTCCACTTAAGTACACCAACCATAAAAATCACCTGTAATGTATTATTAGTTCTAATATAAACACTGATTATGAAAACATGTAAGCCAGTAAGAATTTCCAGAAAGCAATTTGGCAAAATATATGCAGAGCCTTAAAGATGTTCATAACCTTTAGCCCAGTAATTCCTGGAGATAATCAGAGGTACTGACAAATATTTGTATACACGAACATTTATTAGCACACTATTAGGAACATGAAAAATGTAAGCAACAGAAATAATCAAAACTGGGGAAGAGCTATATAAATTGTGGTCTAGCCATACAACGGATCCATGCAGTCATTAAAAATTAATCTCGAGTTTCAAAGCTCAAAAATATTATGGGAACAGTAAAATTAAGCTGGCAAAAAAACAAAAATGCATCACTCTTTTCCTTTAGGTTAGCCTTACCATTATAGGTATAAATGTCACCCCTAAAAGGGGGGTCTTCTTTTTCACGAGCCTTCTCTACTAGAGATCTCTTTGTAACAGTGGAGGGTAATAGAGCCTTTCTCTGAATTTTTGGTTTAGAATACACAAATTCAAACTTAACAATGTCTTCAAGCTATAGATCCAAAAGATGTACTATACCCCAAACACAGACATAATTTTATAAGCATTTTCATAATTTAAGTAAAAATGGAATTACACACGAATTTTCAAAAAAATATGGAAGTGTTCTGCATAAAATTTCAACTGTGTTTATATTGTACTAAGCTAAAACTACATACAAGGCCCCTTTTACTCTGCTAACCACAAAATAAATAGCTCTTCAGGCCCCTTGGAAAGTAGAAGCAATTTGAGTGAAATACAGCTATGAAAAGAGAAAAGACTGGCTTCCTTGATTTGACACTTACATAGTACTCCATGATTTATGCACTTCCCCATACTCCTTACAGTGACTGGGAAAACTAACAACAAAAAAGTAAACTCATGATCCTAAGCATTAAGGTTATTTCTTATAAATACAGAGGGTTTCATTAAGGAGAATATAGAAAAATATGGTGTTCTATAAAGTCGCAGATATATCTGAAAGCATTTGGTCATCTTGCCTTGACAAAACCAGAAAACCTGAAGAAATCAAGAGTCCTACTGTCTGTACTATGACTTCTAAACTGGCTGTCTTAAAAATCCTTTAGTCCTTAATATTTCAAAGGCTATATACCAATACGTTATGGAAAAAGAAGGCAAAAGAGGCCAAAGGTGAGAACAATGCTTGCCGAAGACAGTCATTTAACAGAAGCTGCTGTCACCATCCTCACATAAAATAAATATTTTACGATCCTAAAGTGTAGAAATGAAACATTCCAAATAAAGTTATGATTATTTTTCTTTTTTAAACATTTGTTCTTATTTTTTAATAAGCCTAAATTTGTTCTTGCACCTTCAGAAGCCAAAGGCAACTTGTGTTCCCTTCTCCGCAGAAACTTATAATACAATAATGATAAATAGATCTAAGTCCAATTTCTCAGACCTAGTTGAAAATCATGGGCAATTGAACACTTAGAATCTCCCTCCAGGATATCTGTCTCCTTATAAAAACACCATTTATTTTTATTTATATACAACATAACCTCAAATGTGGTAACAATCACCAAATAAACGAGCATTATCCAACATACAGCAGAGGAATTGCCTGGGAAAGAAGATTGCTTTGCCACTCTGAGTTAGAGACATTCATTTATTTAGAAAAGATAACAAATGAAAGAGAAAGAAAATAATGTGCAGGTCCATATAAAAATCTATTTACAAGCCAAAAAGGAAAAAAATCTAATTATGGAGTTCATCCTACTTAGAGTTTGGGATTCTGACGTTCATTCCTTTTGTCTGGAACACAAAAGAAACAAATTAATGGAGATCGTGCTAGAGAGATCTGGCTACAGAGATTAAAAATAATTTATTTTGCAACAACTAGTCAAAAACTAAAATAGGAATCTGAGTTCCCTTTTCCTACAAAATTCCCGAAAGGAATCTGAGAGCCTTTTCCTACAAAATTCCTTTTCAGTACTTCTTTGAGTCAAAAACCTAAACTGTCATTTTGGTTTTGGAAGTAGAGAAAGGTTCATACATATGCCAAGTCTTTAATAAGTATTTGCTAATTAAGTAGATGGAAGAGAAACTAAACATCCATCTTCACACCATTTATGTGGTGAATCAAATATTCTGTACTTTAGTATAATTAAATAAAACCTCTGAGATTGACCATTTTTACTCAAGAAAGTAAGAGAGCTCATGATTCAGTACCACTAAATCCTCTTAGAATCGAACAGAGTTCATCACATTTTTTTTAAATAAACCCATAATTTGTGAGGCCTAGTGAGGTGAGTAATGATATATAAGAGGAAAAAAAGTACCGGCTTGCGTTGTGATGTTATCCACCACATAGGTCCCAACTCCCCACCAGAGTAGGAGTAACAGTCGATGGAAAGTCACTGCCAGTTTCAATTACTAAGAAAATGTAACACAGAAGGAGAAAGTGGAACAATTTACTACTTACTTTCCCTCCCTCTCTCTCCACTGGATCTCACAGAAAAAGGAAAGTAGCGAGGGAAGTCAAGGGGAGGCTTGGACAATGGGACACAGGTACATCACACAGAGCTTCTTACAATTCTTAGGTATGAAACAGGCAGCATGGAGGAAACCTGATTGGCCATCAAGAGTAAAGAGAGTGGTTCAACAATGCCATTCCCCACTTTCATTCACATTCCACTTTCCCACATATGAGAGGAGGTAACAAAATTATCTCAGCATCAGAGCCAAGTATAAATCACTTGTATATTATTTTATTACTATTTAATTATACTTTCCTAATATAATCCTACTTCCTTGGCATTCTAGAATACAATCCTGTGTCTCTCAAAGTTTCACAAGTGCCTGACAGTAAAACACGTGTCTCAAGAACAAACAGCAGTCTGTTCATTTTCAAAGATGCTTCAGAACCTCAAAAATCATTAGATACTCTAGTGCTCCCC